ATTTGGGGTGCGACCAGAGTCACGGAACGAATTAAGTTCGTAAACCGAGGTTCCACTGTAATTGGAAAACAACAGTACAGAGCGGTGCTTATTCACAGGATGGTGGACTGTTCCAATGGCAGCTTCTCCTCTTTAGGCAGGCTGCTGTTTAATACTCCAAAGGGGCCTCGTGGCTGAGATATGATGGGAAAGTCCTCTTCTGCTGGGCTTAAATTCCCCAAGTTCAAGGAAGGCTACATTCTCCACCTTCAGAGTAATTCTCCTTTGCCTGGTATTTCCCAGATAGGCATGCTAGTGGGGAATTATGGGAGTTGAAGTCCAGGATTGCTAGAGGACACTGGGGGGAGGCTAGCTCAGGAGGAGGAGGGAGATGGGGTGAAGCAAGGGAGAGAGGAGAGCTCTCAGCTGAGGACTGCAGAGTTCCCCCAGGGGTGTGCAACTGCTGCCTTGTCAAGGGGCCACCAGGGTCCCCTTTGCATCTGCTTGTAAACAGAGAAAACGCTGCTCGGGCATTATCAAGGATGCAGCCACCCTCCAGGCTGGGGGGAGGGTTACAAAAATGGAGGGGGAGAGCCACAGGTTTGGGAAGGAAGGGAGCAGTGTCTTCCTCCTGGAAGACAAGACTGCTTGGGTAACCGACTGGCTGGCTAGCACAATTTACTCTCAAATCAGCATCTTGAATCTCTCTGCTGGCTGCCACCGAGGGAAGAAACCAGATCGCCTCCCTTCCACATACTCGTATTGACTTGTGTAGATGAACTTCATCAAGATGAGCTCCTGCATGTGCTCGTGGAAGATGTCTTCCAGCGTCCGCCCCCATTCTTCTCGTAGCCACGTCCGGAACTCCTGCAAAAATGTCCGGGGCGGGGGTTGGAGGGATGACACAGGTTGAATAATCCACTGTGACCCTGTTGGCACCTCCCATAGGCCCACAACACGCGGCGGGGCTCATGAAACAAGCCAGTGGATGGGCGAATCAGCAGCAGCAGCAGCTATTTGGAGGATGCCAAATTAGGAGGCTGGGCTTGGGGGGTGCCAAGCCAAAACTTACCTCTTGTCTCCCTCCTGACATACGGTGGTGATCTGTCTGGTTGCACTTGGTCGAAAACTCATCCTTCTTCACAATCTGTCAATTTTGGAAAAGTGAGATTGGAAGTCACAAGCCCTAAACTTGTGTGATGAAGCCCCTGACTGGGTTAAGCATCCAGGGCTCTGAAGCCCTTTGAACGGAGGTCAGTGGGGGTTGTGGGCTTTCCTTATGTCAGTGGCCCAGGAGAGGGAGAAGAGGGGGGGCTCACCTGGATATGCCCGCTGTGGGGTCCCTTGTGCCCGTACATACACTCAACCGTGGCACTCCGCCTCTCCATTAGGTGAACCCTAAAGAGGGGCTTCAATCGCATGGGGCCATCCACGTGAGGGTCGTGGGGGGTCAAGTACATCCAGCCGATGATGAACAAGCCGTCAACCTGCCCAGGGCAAAAGAGGGGAGAGTCTGTCACTTGCCTTTCAACCCTTCCCCCCCATTGGGATGGCACCTCTGCCCGAGGCCCGCGCCAGGGCTAACTACCACTTAAGCTGGATCAGCTCCATTTAGTGCACCCGCCCAGCCCTCTCCCACTTCTTAATAGCTTCCATATCCTCAGTTCTTCCTGCAAAGTGACTCTCCTCCTCACCCCCCAGAAAACCTTCCCAACTGTTTAAGCGCCGGAGAGCATCCGTGCTGCCAAGACAGAAGCTCCAGGGAGCCTCAAGCTAATGAAGTGGAACGCTCCTGAAGTTGGCAGCTCTCCACCCAGCAGACATAAAGAAGGGAAAGAAGATCCATTCTAAGAGAGCCAGGCAGGGAAAGCTTCTCCCATCGCTGCAGGAGAGAGACCCAGCCTGAAGGAAGGCATGCCGATGTCCACCCAAGGCAGAAAGTCTTGATGCCCTCCACTTCACCCCATGCAGGGCACGAGGCAGGGGAAAGTCATACAAATGCATGGATGTCAGAGGGACGCATTCTCAGCATTTCCCTTCGCAGTATGTTTGCATCCTTCCCTGGTCCTACCTTCAGGCCTGAGGTAGCCATCTTGGATGGCCCACTGAGGGAGCTCTCTGGGTATGAATGGGAGAGACTATGGACAGGCTGGGAAAGCAGGGGAAGAGAAAGCAGATCTAAACCACCAACAGATTCCAGGCAAGTTAATTGACCCCTTATTGGGGAAATTCCTCTTACAGTTTCCAAGAATCTGCATTTACCCCAGGTGGGCATCAAAGACACTTAGCTGACACCTCTTTAGTTCTTGCTTCTTTGATCTTGCCCAGCTGGGGAAGGCTTGACATCAACCTTGGAAACTGTAAGAAAATGTTCCCGGCCTGATTTACAGCATTAATTAAGATGGATTCTCTTTGAATGACTGAAAATGATTCTTTCCAGTTGCTTTCCAGTTGCCATTTATGGGATAAGTTGACAATTGACTCACATGCTATGTTTGATTGTTTATTCTCCCTTCCATTTCCCATCCTCCGCACAATCTCTTATAGTAAAGATGTCCCTTCTCCTTGTCCTCCTTCAAACACCTTATAAAATCTCCTTCAAACTGAGGTTAAGTTCTGGTAACTTCCTAGAATGAGGCCATGTAGTTTTCTTGGCAACAATATCCAGTAAGTTTGCCACTGACTTCTTCCAGGAAGTTTCTCTGATTTCCCAATCTAGCTTACAACCCTGGGGTTTCTGGTGGCCTCCCCTCTAAAGACTAATAAAATCTGGCCCTGCTTAGCTTTTCAAGATCAGCCAAGATCATCTAGATGCCGCCACGTAGCTGAGCACTTAGGCCTTGACTGACTGATTGACCACATGCCATCAAGTTGTTGTCCACACTTCGTGACCACGTAGATAGAGTTTCTCCATGATGATTAGTCCCTACGCTGGTCCTTCAGCTCTTCCAATGGCACCCCCATCACCATTGTAACTGAGTCTATCCACCTCACTGTCTTCTCTTCCTTCCACCTTTCCCAGCATCAGAGCCTTCTCCAGAGAGCTGGCTCTTCGCATAATGTGTCTGAAGTATGATAAGTAGGATATCCCACTTCAGACACATTATGATTAGGCCTTGACCGAAGCATAAATTCCTCCCAGGACAAGAAAGAGAAAGTCATCTTATGCCCAGAGAAAGGCAGAACAGAAAAGCACGTTCCATACAGCACAGGGGCTCCCTGTCCTTGAGGCTTCTGGACTTACCACCACATTTAGGAGACCCCCATATGGTCCAATGTCTGGTTGCCAGAGTCCCAAAATATGCCGGTACCGGTGAAGCACTAGGAAAATGGAGAACAAGAACAAGGTATCAGATGTGAAGGAATGTCTTAGTAGCCAAACTGAGCACAAAGCATGGGAGGGGCAGTAATACAGCGTCCTGCTTACTTTGCCCACACAAACCAATATTCCCTATCTTGCTGAGGTTGTATACATGGAATAATTGCATGTTTTATACAATTTATTCCACTTCTGCTAATCGTGGGGAGGAATAAGGACCGAAGGGCCATCAGGATTAAAGGCCAAAATAGGCACATCTCTCCTCTTCCTTAATAAGGAGCAGGCATTAGGGTGGATAAGAATAGCAGTGCTGGGGATCCAAATTTATCCAACTTCAACAGCAGGCAGGAATGGACCAGCTGGGCATGCTCACAAGAAATCCCAAAACTAGAGAGGAGCAAGATGGATTCAAGAAAAATCACAACCCAAGACCTCCAACAACCTCAGTGATTCAATAAGAAGCCCTAAATACAGAAGCAATGTTCAAGCCCTCTTACACTGTGCCTTCCTTCCCACCTTTCTTGGCCCCCTATCTGAGGCAGGCTGGCTTGGCTCCATCCATCCTTCGTATCTGTAATGGTCCAATTTGCTATTGTGTTGCTTCTCCCTGATTGCAGGAGAACTAACCCTGACACTACTTAACCTTTGCCTCAAACTTTTTCCTCTGACTAAGCCTTCCCACCTCCTGCAAATCTTTTTATTACGAGAGAGGGAGAGAGAGAGAGAGAGAGAGAGAGAGAGAAGAAACACTCATAAACAGCTACTTGTCTTCCTCCATCCAGGACTTGTCCAACTGGAACACAGGTAACACTCTAAGTAGCCCAGCAAAGAAATCCAATGAAATGAACTTGGTGGCACCACAGAGAACACCTTGGCTAACGTAAGTAGAAGAAAGAATAAAAGCAGCACCTCTGTTGTGGTCCACTATCAACCACCCAACCAAGGAGAAGATGTGGAAGGTATTTTTTCAGAAGCCACCTGCCAATCTTGCAAAGAGGCATCCAGTACTAATGCCAAGGAGTGTATTTATTATCTTGACATCTGCCGGGAGACCGACTCAGCCAGGAATGACCCTTCCAGGAAATTCAAAAGGGACTTTGTTGATAAAAGATAGCATATGGGAATCCTGATCAATGGAGAAGTCTTTAGGAGATAAACTGAAGACTGGGGGAAGTTTCTGTGTAAGCTAGCATTCTTGAGATGAAGGAAAACTATCACTGAGTGTGGTCAATGTGAACCTTGGGAGTTCAAGAAAGCAAGTAATAGACTTGGAGATAACTAAGGTCCAACATGGAGATGTTAATGGGAAATGGAGCCAAGATGGGTTAGAGTGCCTAAAAATTGCTAAGCACAAATAATTCTAATGAGGGAAAAACAGAAGGCAGCAGAAAAGCCAGTGAGGATGCATAGAAGGCTTAGTAAAAATCTGAAAGTCAGGTGGAAAGACAAGGAAGTGTTCCTACAGGTAGCCTGGATTTGAAGAGATATATTAGGGAATCTAAAGATGAGTTGCACTAGGCAAAGAATGTGATTAACAAAAAGGATTTTCTGTATGTTCAAAATAAAAGAAACAGAAAAGAAACATTACACTGGTTGGTCAGAGAAGATGACAAAAGAATAACAGAGAACTACAGCTCTCGTAGCAGCTTCCCTTTCAAAGTAGCTGGACTGTGAACTGGGCAAATCCCACAAGGTGCCAAATTCAGGGATAGGGACAGGATGCCGAGTAAGGACTCCATACAAGAACTGGGGAATTCAGTGCTGGGAGTTAATGAGAAGAAAAGCGCTCTCCTCGTTTTCTCAATGGCATCACAGAGAACTCCTTGGTGCATCCGGGAGGCGGCTGGAAAGGGCTTCCTGGCAGTGGCCAACACATAAGGACATAGTTCCCTGCTCCACCAGTGCTTTTCCCACAAGGGCCTCCCCGGCTGGCAGGCATAAAAAGCCTGATTGGGCCAGAGGGAGGAAAGACCAGAAGTAGCAGGAGGTTCCCTCACTCCTCAGAAGATAATCTCATTTCCTCCCTGCAGAAAATGATAAGAATCGGACGGGCCGCAGGTAGTATCGTCCTCACCAAACAAGTTCCTACTTCCCAAAAGAATTTCACCTAGCTCACTCATCTCTCATCTTCCCCAGATTGTGCAAGCCAAGATTTTACACACACACAGCGTATCCTATTAATCTTGTTTTTCCTGGATCTCATCCGCGCTTCTTCTCAGAAAAAGATACTACAGAGGGAACCTGCACTTTTCTGTGACAGGTAAACATATCTGGCCCCAAAAGAACTAACTGCAGTGAATAAAGAGGGTGGCCTGAAGGACAGAGGGAAGTTCCAGTATCAAGGCAACGATCAGATAAATGAAACTTGAGCTCAGGCCAAGAAAATGGTTTGCAAAAATGCTTACGTCGCCCCCCCCCCCCCCCCCCCCCCCCCC